ATTAAAATTCAAAACAAACAAAAACAAATGGGCAAAAAAACAAGGAAAAAAAGAATCTCCTGAGGGCTTGCTTTGGCAGCACATATACTAAAATTGGAACTATACAGAGATTAGCATGACCCTTGAGCAAGAATGTCACACAAATAAATGAAGTGTTCCAATATGTTTTTATTGATTTTTTAGAAAGAAAGGAAGGGAGAGAGAGACAGAAACATCAATGTGAGAGAGAAACATCAATCGGCTGCCTCCTCCTGCACGCCCCCTTCTGGGATCAAGCCCACAACCCAGGCATTGAACCGGGCGGGACCTCTCTGTCCATAGGATGATACTCAATCCACAGAGCCACACTGGCTGGGCAGTGTTATATACATTTAAAAAAAAAAAATTCCTTGCCCTGGCCAGTTTGGCTCAGCGGTTAGAGCGTCAGCCTGCAGTCCCGAGAGACCCGGGTTCGGTTCCCGCTAAGGGCACGTACCTCGGTTGCAGTTTGTCCCCGGCCCTGGTTGGTTGTGCGGGTGGCAATTACTCGATGTGTCCCTTTCACATCGATGTTTCTCTCTCTCTCTCTCTCTTCCTCTCCCTCCCACTCTATCTGAACAAAAAATGGAAAAATGTCCTCGGGTGAGGATTAAAAAAAAAAAATCTCTTGACAGCATCAGGTCACAGAGGCTAAGGGAGTCTTACAAGAATGAGAGATGCCGCCCTGGCCGGTTTGGCTCAGCGGTTAGAGCGTCAGCCTGCAGTCCCGAGAGACCCGGGTTCGGTTCCCGCTAAGGGCACGTACCTCGGTTGCAGTTTGTCCCCGGCCCTGGTTGGTCGTGCGGGTGGCAGCCACTCGATGTGTCCCTTTCACATCGATGTTTCTCTCTCTCTTCCTCTCTCCCCCTCCCACTCTACCTGAACAAAAAAAAAAAAAAAAGAAAAATGTCCTCAGGTGAGGATAAAAAAAAAAAGAATGAGAGATGCCAAGTAAGGCTAGGACTCAGGAGGGGCTGTTGGATTCAGCCATAAAGAGACCTCAGGCGGTCCTTGGTGGTTGCAGAGGCAGAATTGCTAAAGCTGGACCAAGAAAAGAGAGGTGCTAATAGCTACTGTAGCATGTCATACTTACCAAGTGCTTTGCTATTCTGAGCACTTTATAAGTATTAATTCATTTGATATTTACAACTCTATGAGATAGGTATTATCATTCCCATTTTCCCATGGGGAAATTAAGCACAAAGAGGTCCCATGGCTTGCCCAAGGTTACAAAGGTAGTTACAAAGGTGGAGTCTGGATCTGAAAATGTTTCCAGTCTGGCTCCAGACTCCGTGCTGTAAACTGCCAAGCCATAAACCCAGCTCTGGGCTGCGAGGAGGGAGAGGGCCACACTGGTGGTTAGGACCAGAAGAGAGGAAGCCAGGCAAGAGGAGAGGCAAGAGCTAGAGGACGATAAAGAAGGGTGGACCAGATGATTTACAGGTGGAGTGTTTCCCTCTCCTGGACCATAAACCAAAGGGACCTGTCAGCAGCTGGGAAGGGAAATAAGCAAACTCAGGAGGGAGGGGCTGGATGGGGCCTGGGGACCAAACCCTTCCTCTGGCAGAGGCTTCAGGTCCTGTTCCCCTATTGGTGACCCTGTGGGAAATTCACAGCTCAGCAATCCAGAGTTAGTAGAAGGCAGAAATATTAGAGCCACAGGTGGGGATGGAGGTGGAGGGCTGAAATGCAGCCAGTTGGGTTGCCTTCAAGGACCACAGTCAGAGAGAAGTACCAAGGACCTCAGGGCCTGAGCTCCTCCAGTCCAGAGCCTGGCTTCCCAGGTATAAGATACTCTTTAAGTGGTAAGCAGCCTAGAATGTTCTAGAAAAGCCACAGTGCCCAGCCGGTGTGGCTCAGTGGTTGAGCATCGACCAATGCACCAAGAGGTTACTGGTCTGATTCTCAGTCAGGCACATGCTTAGATTGTGGGCTCAGTGCCCAGTGGGGGTCATGCAGGAGGTGGCCAATCAATGTTTTTGCTCATCAATGTTTCTCTCTCTCTCTCTCCCTTCCTCTTTCTCTAAAATCAGTAAAACAAAACAAAACAAAAAAACCACAGATCAAAACTTGGGAAAGGCCTGCATGGCCATGGTGGCCAGAGGCCCCAGCGCTGGTATCTGTCCTCTCCGGGTCAGGTCATGGGTCTTCCAGACCTCTGAGATGGACGCACATACACAGCGGTCCTGTTCTCTCCTCGCGCTGAACCTGGGCTCTGGAAGGAGAACATAAAGTGTCAGGCCATGAGTAGGTTTCTAGACCTTCTTCACCCAAGAAATTGTTTATGAAAAACAATTTGGCTCAGTGGTTAGAGCATCGGCCTGTGGACCGGAGAATCCTGGGTTCGGTTCCCACTAAGGGCACGTGCCTCAGTTACAGTTTGTCCCCAGCCCCAACCAGGGCCATGTGGGTGGCAACCACTCCATGTGTCTCTCTCACATCGATGTTTCTCTCTCTCTCTCTTCCTCCCTCTTTCCCTCCCACTCTACCTGAGGATGAATGCAAAAATGTCCTTGGGTGAGGATAAAAAAAAAAAAAGAAGAAGAAGAAAAAGAGGGAGGTGAACCCTGGCCGGTTTGGCTCAGCGGTTAGAGCGTCCGCCTGCGGTCCGGAGAGACCCGGGTTCGGTTCCCGCTAAGGGCATGTACCTCGGTTGCAGTTTGTCCCCGGTTGGTCGTGCGGGTGGCAGCCACTCGATGTGTCCCTTTCACGTCGATGTTTCCCTCTCTCTCTCTCTCTTCCGTTTTCTCCCTCCCACTCTATCTGTGCAAAAAATGGAAAAATGTCCTTGGGTGAGGATTAAAAAAAAAAAGAAAGAAAAAGAGGGAGGTGAACCAGATGTCTTTCAGATTAAAAGGAACCAAAAAAAAAGAAAAGCCTGCCTGTGCTCAAATCCTCTCCAGCTTTATCAAGATGAATCAGATCCAATGCTGTCCTCAAGGGTCTCATGGGCCAGAGTGGAGCTCTCCCTGTAAACAGATCACAGACCAGTATGATTATCTGCTGCAAGAGGAGAGAGGAAACCTAGAGGGTTTTGAGGAGTGACCTGGGAGAAGATTATGGCAGGCTTCTCAGAGGATGCTCTGAGCTGGACAGTGAAGGAACAGTGAAAAGGAGCTGGGTAGAGGCTGGTGATGCAGGGTAAAGATGAGATGAGGGCATCTCAGAGGGCCTTGCGTATCCAGCTTAAAAGCCAAGCCCTGGCACTGTCTGGCTTGAGGACATGCTGGTGAGGCATCAGGGGAAAGTTCTGTCTCTTCATCTCTGAAGGATTGCCTGGTTCTAGGATGCAACAGTGAACCAGTAGGTAGAAACAAAAGGGAACATATTTGGCTTTTCAAGGTAATAGCAGCCCCAGGCTAAATACCCACAGTGCTCCAGGCTCCATCTGGGCATCCTTTCTTTGAATACTCCCAATTGCCCTGTGAGGAAGGTGTACTGATCCTCTTCTGCAGAGGAGGAAACTGAGATTCGGAGAGATTAGGTAATTTGTACAAGGTTATGGAGAGCTAGAATTTAAACCCAGGTTTTCTGACTCCCAAACTTGGGTTCTTGCTCCCATGCTTTAGGAAACACTTGTGGGTGGGAACCAGCTCACAGTGTGGGGGAAGAACTCCCCAGGATAAGTCAGAAGCGGGACCACCACTCCTGGGTTTCTGTGGGTGACACTGGCACTGGATGGACAATTGACCTGGTGGCTGAGGTATTATGTCCTCTGTTTGAAAGACAAATTGAAACCCAGAAGTGGAAATGCCACTCAGGATCCTGGGCACCCCTAGGGGTCAGAATGCTGGACACAGGCTGGACATCTCTAGGCCTGAGTCCCAGATCTGTGGCCTCAGCAGCCCTGTGAAATGGGAATGGGGAAGGGCCAGGCTAGGTTCCCCCCAGAGCCTGGACTAGAGGCTTGGCAATGTGACTAGTGACAGGACCGTGATCCCAGGGTACCAGCCCTTGTTTAGGCCCAGGTGGGCCAATTCCAGCCGTTGAAGTCCATCAACTACAACTTTGAATCCTGCCTCCAGCACATCCCAGCTGTATGATCTTAGGCAACTCATTTATTTCTTGGAGCCTCATCTGTGAAATGGGGATGATTCCTACCTCCTAGGGTTGCAATGACAATTCTAGGAGAGGATGGTATAGTGGGACCTTTGGCACAGTGCCTGTCACTCAGTCAGTGCTCTGCGATCAGCAGCTGTTATAATTGTAACAATTTATCATGCATCTGTTTTCTCACCTGGAACAGCATGGGAGAGTAATCCCTGTCATCCTGACTTCAAGGTCATGATGTCATCTGTGTGAGCTGTAGGGTCAATGCCAATAGCACTTTTGCCACTCAAAGGCCAGCCCAGCCCTGCAGTGGTAGGGAGACATGTCCAGTTCCCAGGGTGAGGGGAAGCGGGGTGACAGTCTCAATCCATCAATGATAACCTCAGTCTAGTCAAACTTAATGGACCCAGGAGGTACTTAAATGTGTGTGGGGAGAAGCCTAGCCCAGTTCTCCTTCCTCAACGCCAGCTGCTGCCCAGAGCAGGTAGGCAGGTGTGGGGTGGGGATGAGAATGTCCTGGGCCTCAGGAGACCAACTATCAGCTTTGAGAGCAAGACCCCAAGGGATAGTAGTGGGTCTGGGCTAGAGTTGAATTCCTGTCTTCAGCGGTTGGTTCAAGATCTGCAAGTAGAAGAGGAGCCTGTATGAGAGGGCCTAGATCTCAGCTCTCTTTGTCCCACCCCACCCTGGCATGACCCCTGCACTGCTGAGTTCTGGAGGGAGGGGATGGGGTTGTGTTTGGTCTGCTCTGCAGCTTCTTCCCACTTTGTCTACTGATACAGGGTAAAGGCTGGGGTGTGTATGACCAGAGTTGAAGGAAGGTTGCCTGGGGAACTAAACTTGGTGATAAGGCAAGCTAAGACAGCTTGCTGGGAAAAAGGGACAGCTCTGGGGACAGCTCTTGTGACCTCCTACCGTAGGCCCCCAGCGCCATGACCGTTTCATACACCCTCAAAGTGGCGGAGGCCCGCTTTGGAGGCTTCTCTGGGCTGCTTCTCCGCTGGAGAGGAAGCATCTACAAGCTTCTTTACAAGGAGTTCCTACTCTTCGCCGTCCTTTATGCTCTGCTCAGCATCACCTACCGGTGCGAGGGTGGGGTCTCAGGGCTGGTCTGAGGGGGACTAGGCTGCCCACCTCCTTCTAACTCAGGCCTACACTGGACCTTCCCCAGGCTGCTGCTGACCCCGGAGCAGAGGCACGTGTATGCTCAGGTGGCCCGATACTGCAACCGCTCTGCGGACCTCATCCCCTTGTCCTTTGTCCTGGGTAAGACTCCTTCCAGTTCTCCCTGGTATCCTCCTCACTGTCTCCCCTGACGTTTGGGTTGGGTTGATAGCTCTGAGGGTCAGAATTACCCCAGCAGTGCAGCCTGGAGGTCAACCAGAGCAGGCTCAGAAGACATGGCAGCTGCATGCCGGGTCCAGATTTCCAGAGGGCTAGGCCCTGCCTATTACTTATCACTTGCTGGACCCTCATTCCAAACAAGGCCCAAGCCACCTGCTGGCTGGCATCGCCAACCTCTGGGTACTGGAGGAGAGCTAAAGAGAGATGACACCCCATTCCCACCCTCACGGGAAGCAGGGCTCAGAGTTAACCATTACCTGGCCTGGAACCACCACTTCTCTGCCTGAGGAGGGCTGCATTTCTTCCTCCCAGCTCAGTCTAGTACATCAGGTTGGGCCCAGAGGAAGAGGTTGTCCTCTTGACAGAAGGCAGGGCTCCGGAGCCAAATGTGTCCCTTCCTCTGCCTTGGTTCAACCTGCCCTGGACCAGGCACTCTGGCTGAGGGCAGGACATGCTGACTCCCAGGCCTTCCATCTTTCCATCCCATCCCTGCTACCCTTGGTGGCAACCAGGTTTCTATGTGACATTGGTGGTGAACCGCTGGTGGGCCCAGTATACAAGCATCCCACTGCCAGACCAGCTGATGTGCGTCATCTCGGCCAGCGTGCACGGCCTGGACCAGCATGGCCGCCTGCTGCGCCGCACCCTTGTCCGCTATGCCAACCTGGCGTCAGTGCTAGTGCTGCGCTCAGTCAGCACCCGGGTGCTCAAGCGCTTCCCCACCATGGAGCACGTGGTGGATGCAGGTGCCTCATGTGCCTCCTGGGAGGGGAGGTCTGACCCCCGAGGGAAGCTCCAGGGCCCCGGGGTCCCAGCTTTTAGAGGCAGAGTCTGTGCTCCACTCACTTTATCTCTGCAGGTTTCATGTCTCAGGAAGAAAGGAAAAAGTTTGAGAGCCTGAAATCTGACTTCAACAAGTACTGGGTCCCCTGCGTCTGGTTCACCAACCTGGCGGCCCAGGCCCGGAGGGACGGGCGAATCCGTGATGACATTGCACTCTGCCTGCTCCTGGAAGTGAGTTAGCCTAGGACCAGGCCCATCTGCCATCCTTCCCGAGCTTTGCAAACTGGAATAATAATTTTAGTACTTAACACTTTCATCGTGCCAACTACGTACTATACATTTAGAAAAAATATATATGGTTTTATTGATTTTTTTTAGAGAGAGAGGAAGAGATAGAAACATTGATGTGAGAAACATCAATCGGCTACTTCCTGCATGCACCCCACTGGGGATCGAGCACGCAACCTGGGCATGTGCCCTGACTAGAAATCGAACCAGGACCTCACAGTCCATGGGATGACACTCAATCCACTAAGCCACAATGGCTGGGCACATACTATACGTTTTGGAAGCCCTGTATTTATACTAACTCATTTAACCCTCACAATCCTTGATATAGGTACTATTATTACCATCCCCATTTCGTAGATGAGGAAACTGAAGCATAGAATAGAAAAGAAATTTGCCCAAGTCACACAAATAATTAGGGAAGCTGGGGTTCTACTCAGCCATTCTGGCTCCAGGTTCTGTGCTTACAATTACTTTGCCAACTTGCTTCTCATCACAGGCGCTCCAGCCTGGTAACACCTCTGAGAACAGAATGAGCCTCCAGACCTGGCCCATTCTTCATTCCTCACCTTCACTGACTTCTCTTCCTGCTGTACCACCAGGAGCTGAACAAGTACCGAGCCAAGTGCAGCATGCTGTTTCACTATGACTGGATCAGCATCCCTCTTGTCTACACCCAAGTAACTACCTCTTACCTCCCCAGTCCCGGTGCCTACTGTATGTCCTGCGCTGTGTGAGAGACACTGAGAAGAATTAGAGATGGTACCTGCCCTGGGGCAGTTCAGTCTAGTGAGACACTGAACAGCTAAGGGTTCATCCTCAAAGTCTCCCTGGACACCCACTAAGATGGCCCCATTCTCTGGTGCTGCCTCATCTTGCTACATGTTTTCATCGCTTGTCAGACCTCCACACTCCCCTCTTCATCAAGCCCTTAGGGACAGGGACAGCATTTCTCCCTGTCCCATTCAGCTAGACTTGCCCTTCTCCAGGTGGTGACCATAGCAGTATACTCCTTCTTTGCCCTTTCCTTGGTTGGCCGCCAGTTTGTGGAGCCAGAGGCAGGCGCTGCCAAACCTCAGGAATCTCTGGAGCCAGGGCCAGTGTTGGGGGACCTGGACATGTATGTGCCTCTCACCACTCTGCTGCAGTTCTTCTTCTATGCTGGCTGGCTCAAGGTGGGCACTCCGGGTGGTCATGCCAGCATGCTCTGTAGAGACATGAACCCAGAGTCACTTTGGGGACAGAGAATGGGGCAGAAACCACTGTCTTACAACCTCAGGTAGCTGAACAGATCATCAACCCGTTTGGTGAGGATGATGATGACTTTGAAACCAACCAGCTCATTGACCGCAACTTGCAGGTGAGCAGTGGTCTGGGGGCAGAGCCCCCCGTGTGGAGGGGAGGAGGGTTTTTATGACTTGCTGCCCACCCCAGGTGTCCCTGCTATCTGTGGATGACATGTACCAGAATCTGCCCCCCGCCGAGAAGGACCTGTACTGGGGCGAAGACTCGGTGCAACCGCCCTACACTGTGGCTACGATGGCTGAGTCGCTGAGGCCTTCCTTCCGGGGCTCCACTTTCAACCTCCGGTGAGTGTCCCCAGCACGCAGGCTCCAAGTCCCCGCCCACTGTCTGCGGGGCCAAGGACTTGGTCCCTCCCACCCGCTTCTGGAACCAGGCCAGTCCATCCCACCGCTTGCGCGGAAGCTCACTCGTGGGTCCTCCCGCCCGCAGCATGAGCGACGACCCGGAGCAGAGCCTGCAGGTGGAGGTGGCCCCTGGGTTGGCTCGGCCGGTGCCCGCCGCGCAGACCCCACTGCTCAGCCGCGTCCTGGGCGCAGGAGCACCCTCCCCCGCCGTCAGTCTCCGGAACTTCGGCTGCGCACGAGGACCTCCCCGGACCCCTCGTCCGCTGCGCTCCCAGGCGGAGGAGGGCGGCGACACCGAGGCCGCGGACTGCATCGAGGAGGTGGCGGGTCCTCGGGGTTAGGCCTGGGAGCCCTGAACAGAGACAGCCGGGGCCTAGGCTGCCCTCAGGCCTGACACCCACCTCCCCGCCGCCCCCACCCCCCTTCCGCCTCTCGCCCCTCACTGCTCACTTCCTGGGCAGTGCCAGTCCCGCACCCTGTTAGAGCAGCACTTTTTGTGCTCGGAGCCGGAGCATTTAGGGGCGAGGAAGATGAACGAGGAAGATGGTGGTAAGGGCCTGAGCCAAGGCTGGGAATGTGTCCACTTTGGCGGGAGAAGGTAGGACGGATTGTTTGGGGAGGTGAAGCTGGAAGGATACATGGGACGAGGCGCAGAGGACTACAGCCCAGGTGCAGTTAATTTCATCGGCATTGGGGGGCCAGGCAAGTTCTCAGGCTTGCAGGAGCATCAGCATTGCTGAAGGGCTTATTAAAAAGTTCCAGGTACCACTCCCAATGTTTCTGATTTATTAGATGTGAAATGGAGCTCAAGGATTACAATTTGAGTCATACATAAGATATTTAGTATATGCCCTATCCTGATCACCTTACTTTGAAAGAGAGATCAAAGTGTGTGGGTTGGGCACTTTTGATCTGAAATGTTCAATTTTCTTGTTTACAATGATAATATATTTATAATTTGTGAAGTTACAATTGTTTAAAACTTAATCGGCATGCTATGTGGTGAGGTAAAGATAAGGGTTTAGCCCACCGGTGTAGCTCAGTGATTGAGCATGGACCCCTGCACCAAGAGGTTGCCAGTTTGATTCCTAGTCAGGGCACATGCCCAGGTTGTGGGCCAAATTCTGTGTGGGGCATGCAGGAGGCAACCAGTCGAGGTTCCTCTCTCCCTCTCCCTTCCTCTCTCTCCAAACTAAAAAAAAAAAAAAAAAAGGGTTTGGGAATCTGCCCTGGAGGCTGATTAAACACAGTGTGAAGGCAGTAATACATACACCACCCAGCCTAGACTTTCAGCATTTGGACTTGAGAGTGCAGTCTTTTGCCACTCCCACCAACCAAATGGGGAGAATGGATAATTTTTTTTTTTTTTTAAATCCTCACCTGAGGACATTTTTGCATTTATCTTCAGATAGAATGGGAAGGAGAGAGGGAGGGAGAAACATCAATGTGAGAGAGACACATCAAGTGGTTGCCACCCACACGACCCCAACAGGGCCCGGGGCAAACCACAACCAAGGTACATGCCCTTAGCGGGAACTGAACCCGGACCTCTCTGGTCTGTGGGCCAGCACTCTAACCACTGAGCCAAACTGGCCAGGGTGAGAATGGATAAATTTAAGGGGTGAAAGCTACAGTCTATCTCCATGGCAGGACTGCAGTGCTGGGAACACGGTCATGTAGAACCTTACGGAAAACAGCACTAGAGCCCTGGCCGGTTTGGCTCAGCGGTTAGAGCGTCAGCCTGCGGTCCCGAGAGACCCGGGTTCAGTTCCCGCTAAGGGCATGTACCTCGGTTGCAGTTTGTCCTCGGCCCTGGCCCTGGTCGGTCGTGCGGGTGGCAGCCACTCGATGTGTCCCTTTCACATCGATGTTTCTGTCTGTCTTCCTCTCTCCCCCTCCCACTCTACCTGAACAAAAAATGGAAAAATGTCCTCAGGTGAGGATAAAATAAAAAAAAAAAAAAAAAATTAAAAAAAAAGAAAAAAAAGAAAACAGCACTAGAGCATTAGATTGGAGTCATTGCTGGACTGAGCTCCTCTTAAGGTTCCTGTTGTCTAAGCTCAGCCTCCAGTAAATACATCAGTGAATGTTAAAACTGAACATAAGGCCAAAGGATGACAAATGCCAGAACTCAGGGGGAGACAGGAGTTTATAGATAGAGGTTGGGTGCAGCCTCTGGCATTCATTGACTGACTAGATTATAATGCTTGTTTCGCTGCTTTCCTACTGGGTGCCCAGGGGACCTTGAACATTTCCAAGCCTCGCAGTGGCCGAAATCTTTAACATGGAGACATCACCTCTCCGTAGCTGTTCACTGAGAAGGTATCTGAGTTTTTTTTGCTGGGTTTACAGGGGAAGATACCCTTGTTCCAGGGCAAGAATTGTCATCTGTGAAGGCGGTGGAGACTCCTTAGAACCTACTGGTCCTAGCCCTGGCTGGTTTGGCTCAGCGGTTAGAGCGTCGGCCCGCAGACCAGAGTCCCAGTTTGGTTCCCGCTAAGAGCACATACCTTGGTTGCAGTTTGTCGTGTGGGTGGCAACCACTCAATGTTTCTCTCTCTCTTCCTCCCTTTCTCCCTCCTGATCTGAAGATAAATGCAAAAATGTCCTCAGGTGAGGATAAAAAAAAAAAGAACCTACTGGTCCTATTGACAGATTAGAGATAGAAGTTAAGAGGAATAAAGATTAGTGCCTTGCAGAGTTCAAATTAGAAGGTATAGTAGTGCTTACAGCTTTGAATTTGTCTAGTAGGTCTTCTGGTCTTTACCGGAAGGCCAAAAGAAAAAAAGAAGAAAGGCAGTGTTGAGTGTTGCTTTGCTGTGCCTGACAGAGCTCTCAGTAAACATTAACTATTAAGGTGATGCATGAAGACCCTCACTGGGTAGGAAGGCTGGGGCCAGGTCTCTCCAGAGCCAATAGTAAGGTTTTAGAAGGTTGATTTATTTTTGTTCTCAAAAAGGGGGTACATCTTCTAGTTCACCTTTCCCAGTTGGACTGCTCACCTGTCTTCAATTTAGCCAAGGTGATGAACCAATTCAGTTTTGGACTTACTTGGCTCTACAATATGTATTTGCACCTTCCATCAACTTTAAATCGCTCTACAATATGTATTTGCACCTTCCATCAACTTTAAATCGGATCAAAGCCTTCAGGAACTCATTAACAGCACATATTTGTGTGTCTAGCACACTATCATGCACTTTTCCAGATGCTGGAGACACAGAAGAAAACAAATAGCCCTGTTCCCCTTGAGTTATATTCTGAGAGGAGTGGGGAAAAAAAGACAACCAAATAAAACAAAATGTATGCCAGGTTAAGGGATAAGGGGAAAAAGGCAGACAGTGTGGAGGGAACTGCAATTGAAAATTTTGTGACCCACCCTGCCGGTGTGGCTCAGTTGTTGAGCACCAACCCGTGCAACAAAAGGTCACCAGTTCGAATGCTGGTCAGGACACATGCCCAGGTTGTGGACTGAATCCCCAGGGGATATTGATTTGAGAGGGAGAGGGAGGAATAGAAACATCAACGAGAGATAACATCGATCTGCTGCCTCCTGCATGCCCTCCACTGGAGATTTGGCCCACAACCTGTGCATGTGCTGATTGATGGTCAACCACTGAGCCACACAGGCCGGGCAAGAAAAAAAGATGTTTAAAAAGAAAAGAGCCCAGGCCAGTTTGGCTCAGCATTTAAGAGCATCGGCCTGTGTACCAGAAAGTCCTGGGTTTGGTTCCTGCTAAGGGCAATTACCTCAGTTGTGTTTGTCCCTGGCCCTGGTTGGGGTTGTGTGGGTGACAACCACTCGATGTGTCTCTCACATTGATGTTTCTCTCTTCCCCCCTCTCCCTCCCGCTCTGAAGATAAATGCAAAAATGTCCTCAGGTGAGGATAAAAAAAATTAAAAAGAAAAGGGAGAGCTGAGGAATGTGATTAGTTTTGAACATGCTAACATCAAAGTCCAGGTGTCAAATAGGTTTAGGCTAAAGTCAGAAAAATGAATACAAACCTTATTTAATTTTTAAAATCCTCAACCAAGGATAGTTTTCCATTCACTTTCAGATAGAGTGAGAGGGAGGGAGACAGATCAGCTGGTTGCCTCTTGCACAACCCCAACCAGGGCCAGGGAAGTGAACAGCAACCGAGGTACATGCCCTTGTCAGAAATTGAACCCGTGACTCTTTGGTCCTCAGGCTAATGGTCCAACCACTGAACCAAACGGGGCAGGGTCACAAACCTCATTTAAAGGCTGGCAATAGAGAAGGCAGCCAAGCTGAATAGAGCTCTCCCTCAGATATAGCAACGCAGAAATCACTGGTAATCTAACATACACTCAAAAATATATTTTTTTAGTCCTGGCATTTGGCTCAGCTGTTAAGAGTGTCAGCCTGTGGTCCAGAGACCTGGGTTTGGTTCCTGCTAAGGGCACGTACCTCAGTTGCAGTTTGTCCCCGGCCCTGGTTGGGTGGTATGGGTGGCAGCCATTCCATGTGTCCCTTTCACGTCGATGTTTCTCTCTCTGCCTCTCCCTCCCACTCTATCTGAAAAATGGAAAAAAATTTTTTTTTATCCTCACCTGAGGACATTTTTGCATTTATCCTCAGTTAGAGCAGGAGGAAAAGAAACATCAACTGGTTGCCAACCACATGACCCCAACAGGGGCCGGGGACAAACCACAACCACTGATATGTGTCCTTTGCAGGAACCGAACCCGGGACTCTCTGGTCCGCAGGCCAAAGCTCTAACCAGTTAGCAAACCAGCCAGGGCTAACATACTTTTTAGTGTGGGGGAAGGGGCTAGGGCTCAAGAGAAAATTATAACTTGCTTTAAACAATGCAGAAATGTGGAACAAATTTCAAGATTTCTAGACCACTAAAACCAAGGTTCAAGGGGTACAGGATCTCTCAAAGAGCCAACTTTAGAGGCAACATTGTTTCAAGGTTCCAATCATGGTCCAGTCAACATCCTAATATTGTTGGGGGCCCCAGTGCTGCGATACCTCCTTCGTATGGTCTTTGCTTGGCCTGCACGCAACATCCGTCTCCACTTTGGAGTGAGAAATGTTCCCCCTATCATATTAAGGTACAGGCCTGGCCTCCAGGGAGAGGGAATTAAAGACACTCTAATAGTGTGCTGATCAAGTAGTCAGACAACATGGACACAAAACCTGGGATAAACACCTTTATTACACGAGCTAAGACAGGAGGGAAGAGAACTTATTTGCCTTTCCGGGCCTTGATTTTCCTCAGATAGAACTCCAGCTCCTTGCCCTCTAGCACATAGCCATCTGCTCGGCCACACTGGCCTGGTCTTGAAGCGATGCATGCTGGAAGAGAGTTCATGGTCCTCAGCAAAATAATAATGTGGTCCTATCCATACCTATGTGCCCTTAAAAGCACATGGTGGTTCAAGTATCCTTCGGGGGGGGGAGCAGGCATGAAACCTGCTGTCTCCTCAGATACACTTTATCGTCACTTAAAATCAGTAGCAGAACTGGACAAAGTTTTCATCACCGAGACAGCCCCCTTAGTCTGGGAACCGACTTCTCAAAATACTGCTCCTGAAACTCAGAGGCAGAGTGAGGCTCAGGCCGAGGGACTCCTGCCCACCATTTCCTATTTTAGCTCCACACTAATGGGTTGACCAAATGTTGATTTGTATGCTGTTATCATTAAACTTCCCTGCTGAACCCTCTAGACCACATGGCTGACAGTCAAGGGTAAAATGCAGAGGGTACATGTCTTATGACCCACCCCCACCCCAATGCAACAGCCATCTTACCAAGAAGCTTGCCTTGCTGGAACTGCTCCTCGAGAAGACTGCTAATTTTGGCATTTTTTTTCCTCTCATCATACTTCTTCTGAATTTTCTTTGATCGTTTTTTGTTTAAAATCTCTTCCTCCTCAGGAGTCTGAGTAGTGGAGACACATGGGTTAGTTGGGGTCCCCAAACCCTAGTTCAAGTAAAGGATCACCATACATAGCCCTGAAGCCCACACACCCCAACTTCTGCTGCCTTCCTCAGCACTAAAGGTTTTCTTCTCTCTCTCTTCAGTAGCAGAACTGGACAGAATTTTCATCACAAGAAGGCTGGAAATCA